TTATCTAAATTGTGGCTTAGATTGAGTTCCTCACTTTTAAAATTTCTTTTACCAAAAATCGATCTAAGAAAGACTTAATTCATGTAATTTGCTTCATGAATTCACTTGAGTGTCTACAGGGACTTTGCATCAGACAGTGGAATTATAACTGAATCTTTGTATATTTGGTAACAAAACTATTTCCAGAAAGTCCAGGGTCACAAGTTTTGTCCTGTGAAAATATAAAATGTACTTTCTTTATTTCATAAAATACATACATTTCATTTCATATTTTCATAGAACTGGAATTAAGCCCAAAAACTTTCAGCCTGTTTCTGTAAAATTCGAATTGAATTCGAGTGATTTACTAACAAAAATAATTTGTTAGCATCCCACTCGATATTGTTCATTTTAAATTTTACACCAAATAGTTTGTATTTTTTGTTACCAATTTTTGTTGAAAATTTTAAGTTTATTTATATACAGTAAAATTGTTAATATTTTAATAATTCCCCAAGGTTTGCTAGTACGAATATAACATAATATATTTGTTTAAAATCTGCTTAAAATGGAAATTCAAATCCCATACCAGCGTACTGAATACATTAAATTCATTAGTAATATTTTTACGAAATCGACAAAATATAAAATGGAATAATCATAAACAACGTTTTATTTGCTTTTTAGTAAAAATAATTCAACCGGCATCATTAATATTTTAATATCCCATTTCTGTAAAATTCGAAACAGAAATGGGCTGTAAATATCAAAAAACTGTGAAATGTCACTGTACTTTAAAAACGAAAAATTCTAGGGAATCATTAGCCAAAATTGTATTATTCTTTTCAATTATAAAACAGGCCTTTTACATCGCACTTCAAACCCGAAAATAGTGCCGATAGAAAAGTTATTAATTTTTTTAACAATTTTTATTTTCAGTATTTCAAATGGTCCATGAACTTATTTAAATACTGAAGCCTTTTAAATATTTTGAGAATGGTAAAAAGTTTCACTTACTTTAGTACAAAAATGTTAAGGAGATTCTTTAGTCAATGATGTATTTAAAAATCGGAAAGGGATTGTAATAAATGATTTTTCCTAATGCCCAAATTCAGATAGATTGAAGTATACAATTTATTTCACTATAAACTTTATGTTGTAAATATCAAACAATTTGAAATGTCACAGTACTTTAAAACTCAAAAATTTTAGAGATTCTTTAGACAAAAATGTATTATTTTTGAATAAAATAATAAGCCTTTATAAGACAGGCCCTTTTTCTATCGCACTTCATCTTCAAAACCGAAAATAGTGCCGAAAGAAAAGTTCTTTTGAAAATTTTTATTTCCATTATTACAGATGGTTCATGACCTCATTTAAATATTGAAGTCATTTTAAATATTTGAGAATGGTAAAAAGTTTCACTTACTTTAGTACAAAAATGTGAAGGAGATATCCAACGCTTTTTTTAATAATTGTAATGCTATTTAAAAAATATCAAAAATTCAAAATGGGACAGTACTTTAAAACTGAAAATTTTCTGAGATTCTTTAGTCAAAAATGTATTTTTTTTATAAAAATAATAAAAAGCCTTTATAAAACAGGCTCATTTTTCTATCGAGCTTGTTTTCAAAACAGATACAATTGGCAATAGAAAAGTTACATATTTTTACTTTAAAAAGAAAAATTATTTTCAGTATTACAGATGGTTCATGACCTTAATTTAAATACTGAAGCCTTTTAAATATTTGAGAATGGTAAAAAGTTTCACTTACTTTAGTACGAAAATATTAAGGAGATTCTTTAGTCCATGATGCATTGAAAAGTCGCTCAAATTAAGAGAGCTTGAAGTATACACTTCATTTCACAACAACTGCTATTTGGTAAATATCAAACAATTTGAAATGTCACAGTACTTTGAAATCGAAAAATTTAAGGGATTCTTTAGTCAGAAATGTATTAAAAAGCCTTTATAAAACAGGCCTTTTTCTATAGCACTTGATTTTCAAAATAGAAAATAGTGCTGATAAAAAAGTTATATACTTTTTATTTAAAATTTTTTTCAGTATTACGGATGGTTAAATATTTGAGAATGGTAAAAAGTTTCACTTACTTTAGTACGAAGATATTACGAAAATTCTTTAGTCAACGATGTATTAAAAATAATAATGAATCCTAAGAAATATCCTTTTTTCTACAGCACTGGATGGTAAAAAGTTTCACTTACTTTAGTACGAAAATATTAAAGAGATTCTTTAGTCAATGTTGTATAGAAAACTCGCACAAATTAAGAGAGCTTGAAGTATACACTTCATTTCACAACAATTGTTATTTTGTAAATATCAAACAATTTGAAATGTCACAGTACTTTAAAATCGAAACATTTAAGGGATTCTTTAGTCAAAATTGTATTATTTTTATAAAAATAATAAGAAGCCTATATAAAACAGGCTCATTTTTCTATAGCACTTGATTTTCAAAACCCAAACTAGTGCCAATAGAAAAGTTATATACATTTTATTTAAATATTTTTTTCAGTATTACGGATGGTTAAATATTTGAGAATGGTAAAAAGTTTCACTTACTTTAGTACGAAGATATTAAGGAGATTCTTTAGTCAATGATGTATTGAAAACTCTCTGAAATTAAGAGAGATTGAAGTATACACTTCATTTCACAACAATTGTTATTTTGTAAATATCAAACAATTTGAAATGTCACAGTACTTTAAAATCGAAACATTTAAGGGATTCTTTAGTCAGAAATGCTTTATTTTTATACAAATTAATAAGCATTTTGTAAAACAGGCCTTTTTCTATAGCACTTGATTTTTCAAAGTAGAAAATAGTGCCGATAGAAAAGTTATATACTTTTTATTTAAACATTTGTTTTTTTCAATATTACAGATGGTTAAATATCTGAGAATGGTAAAAAGTTTCACTTACTTTAATACGAAGATATAACGAAAATTCTTTAGTCAACGGTGTATTAAAAAATTATAATGAATCCTAAGAAATATCCTTTCTTATTTCAAATTTATAAGCGTTTGTAAAACAGGCCTTTTTCTATAGCCCTTGATCTTCAAGTCAGATAATTGTGCTGATAAAAAAGTTATATACTTTTTATTTAAATGTTTTTTTTTCAGTATTACGGATGGTTAAATATTTGAGAATGGTAAAAAGTTTCACTTACTTTATTACGAAGATATTACGGACATTCTTTAGTCGAAGATGTATTAAATAATAATAATAATGAGTCTTAAGAATTATTTCTAAAACTCAAATTCAATTAGGTCGAAGGAAGTACTGCATTTTACAACAAATGGTATTTTATAAATGTTCAAAAAAATTTTTTTTTTGAAATTTCACAGTACTTTAAAACAGATTTTTTCCGAGACTGTTAGTCAAAAATTAGTATTTTTAAAAAATATACTACTTCATTTTAAGATAACAATAATTGTCGAAAAAATGTATTGCCAATAATATAAAAGAATGCGTTTTTAAAAATGGAAATTTTGTACTTCACTTTAGTACTAAAATTCGTCCAAGATTCTTTAGTCATAAATGTATTTGTTTGAAAGTAATAAGCCATATATAGAAGGCTTATTCGAGGAGAAATCATTTGCTATAGGAAACGAACAAATAATTTTTTTTCGAAGTGGAGAAATTTGGAAAGAAGGAAATGTTTTCAGCTATTTTTCCGTTCTGAAATGTAAACCTAATGTTTTATTGGACGTAATAATGCTACGATCCATCACTTTTAGGGTACCAAATACAAATCGATGCGGGATTTTTCAAATGCGTTCTTGATCGATCGTTTTATAATTTTCAACTTTTTATACCTTTCACCAGAAGGAGACACTTAAAATCGATCGGGTCATTTATATGGTGGCTATGCCATGGTAAATTGCTTCCAAACGAGAAAACGAAATTCTAATCTATGTACTCTCAGGTTGGAGAATTGGCCTAGAACCTTGAATATACCGAAAATGATATATTACGGTTGAAAATGCGTCTGAAATCCTAAAAATATAAAAAATTGAGATTTGAAACATAATGTCAAACTAAAATATTAAGTCAGAGCCAATTTGTTTGAAAAACGTGCCAGCGGGAGATACCCTGAAACTTGGGTCAATATTAATAATTTGTAATACGGAGATGTGTAACACAATGAGAACCCCAAACACAAAATTACCGCCAATTCGGTTGGAAAATTGTGTCAAAAATCCCTAGAATACCGAATATTGGGGGGTAGTGTTATATGGGGGCTACCCTGAAACTTGGATCAATATTAATCATTTTTAGTCTCCGATTAATGTTTCGAGGTGTTGCAAATGGAAACCACTTTTTTTTAGAGGTTATACAAACTTGAAAAATACAGCAAGGGCATTTAAAACCCCTGGATATGGGGTCTATACCAAAACATTAACCTACATTGAAAAATTTCTCCGAGGGCCCCATGGGACCATTATATGGGGACTATGCCCATACACGGAACTATATGTCAAAATGCACCCACTTTGATTAAAAAATACGACTTGAATTTTCCACTGAGAACCATACTGTCGAAATCCGAAATATAATAAACATTTTTGGGACGTAATGTTACCAGCATTGTCAAGCTAAAATTTTGACAATTACAATTACCTATTTGGAGGTCTGAGAACGAAATTCAAAATACAGTCATTTCGGTGGAAAAACTTTGTGAACGACTATTTGCAGGTGTGACAAACGCAAAGAATAATAAATATTTCGAATAAATTTATGTTATTCTCACACATATAACGGCTTTTGCATTACCCAGCAAACTTTTTGGGAGACACCTCGTAAAACGTTCCTCCGAAATATATCACATCGACTTTTATGTAACTTTTTCAATTTACTTCTCTTCCAATGGAATTTATCACACAAACAATTACCTTTGCTTTACCTTAAAAATGGCCACCATTTACATTAAATATTTATGGAAATTTTTGTTTTGCTTAAATTCTAATCACTTTTATTCTTATCCTCCCCCCACGCTTACCAAGGTCGCCATACCTGTGCAGCAGCCGCCGAGCCATTAAGCGAATGATGAGGTTCATAACCTTTTTCACGTAAACGTTTACGTTCGAATATTTGATGGCGTATTTTTAGTAAAATATCACGTTTGCCATTATTATGAGACTGATGTTGTTGTTGCTGTTCATCGGACACATCTTGGTCTATTGGTTGTTGGTGTAGACGTTGATATTGTTGACTGTGTTGGTGATGGTGTTGCTGCTGTTGTTGTTGTTGGTGATAGGCAGTTGTTGAAATATTCATGGCATTTATATCTGGTGAAAGGCGGGATGATAGAATGTTGTTTGTTGCATTCAACAGTGACAGTTGTTGTTGCCGTTGTTGTTCTATAATCCTCGCATGACTCAATAATGGTATGGCTTCATTTTGATAGCTAAGCTGACTTCTTCTACTCCTTACCGCAAACACATCCTCATCATCTGCGTGTTGATTATCATAAAACGTTTCATGTTCCATATCACTGCTGTGCTGACTGCCTCCCTCATCAGCATTGATTTCGTCATCATCATCGTCGTCGTCGTTGCTGTCGTTCATCGATTGAAATTGGAAATTCTTTTGGGTTTTTGTCAATTTTTTAGGACTCTGTTGTTGTTTGTGTAGATTTTTCTAAATCACAGAAGAGGAAAAAAACGAAACGAAAAGAGATAAACAAAACAAAATTAGCATGTGCTGGTTGACATTTCATTATGTGGTTGGTATTTTCCAATAATAGCATTCAAAAGGCTATACCGGTAAAGTGTGTCAGATACATACATTCGTATATATATGTATGTAGGTAGGTACATATGTTGATTTGTTTGTTGGCTTGTTTTGTTTGTAAATACTGTGCCGTAGAATGTGGTGTTTGGTATTTATGTGGACTTATGTAAAACGTATATAAATATAGACATTGTTATTTTAATAACAAACTAATTAAGTCTTGTTCTAATTATATTTAGTTTTTTTTTTATAATTACAAAAAACGTAAATAAAGAAAAACTAAACAATTTATAGAGTATATATTTTTAGACCGTTTAATGCAAGGTATTGAAAGAGAATAACTCAGAAAATATTTGAAGGAAAAATATTGATATAAGAGGGTAGAGGAATAAGGACTGTTCCAGTATTTGGCAATTGCTTAATAGGAAAATATATTTAAAAAAAAAAAAAAAAAAAAAAACTTTTGAAAAAAGTGTCCTATTTTTACGAAGGAATTAAACCACAATATGACTACACCTGGTTCTTAAAATGCGTAAATTCGAAATACAGCCATATTTGTTTTTGAATCACGATAGAGGGTGCAATGTTTACGATAACAGCTCTATTACTACTAGGTCATTTGGTATCAACAACGGGATAATTCGGTCTCCATATTTTCTGAATTTTAAGAGTCCTAACCGCACTAAGCTGAATTTATATAAATTTTCGATTTTTACATATGATTGCTATTTTGTTCGGTATTGAAAATATGATTATAGGTTGGGGGAAAAAGTCAATTTTTCATTTATTTTTTCTTTTTTTGTGTAAATGGTTTAAACCATTTATGGACGATTTTTAGCTCCTGGTCGATGTTACCACTGCCGGTCAATTTAGATTATTTCTCCGATTTTATCGACATTTTCGACGACCGGCCTACCTCTGCGAGGTGCATCTTTAGCATCAAAAATTCCTGAACGGAATCTACAAAACCAAAATTGCAACAATCGGAAAAACTGTAGATTTGTATTCAAAAGCCTATATATATCCTACCTAAGGAGTGGTTGATATAAATTATATTGCTGTATGTACTCGTATGTGGGAGTTATACGTAAATATATAGAGATATCTACCTATTCTGATTACCATTTCGGATATGAATGTCTTATGTCGTAAAGAATGTCGGAATGAAAATCTTATGGCGTAAATGTTCAACCCGGGAAAAATATTTGGAAAATACGCCAGGATAAGAAAAAGTAGCTCTTGATTACAAATCGGTCATGTGTCATATGGTTGGGCCGTCCGACTATTCTGCTCCGCACAATGGGTTTTTTAATAGTTTTGGATATTATTAGGCATTAAAATTGTTCACAAAAAATCCGAGATCTTGATATTTCAGATACGTCTATTTTTTATAATCTTTAATACTACCCCCAGGATGTTCGGCATTGATGATTGGGAAATATCGGCCTATGTTTTGAAAATCGGACCTCCGGAATTGCAAATTCCTAACGGTACCTTGCAAATTCCAATATTTTGGAAAGGTTGAACACGTTTTGTTACTGAATTGGCTCTAATTTTATATTTTAGATTCTCATAGGCTAGAAAATCGCATTACCAAAAATTATGAATATTGACCTAAGTTTCGGGGAGGCCGCTACATTACGATACCACTCAAATTGTAGTATTTAGGGGATTATTCCACACAATTGTATGTACATTGATATTTTGGGTTCTCAGTGGGCGGCAAAAATTTTTACCAAAAATTAAAAAATAGGGCTCACTCTTCAGTATAGCTACCATATAGAGGTACCTCCCAAATTCCGGCATTTTGTGGAGTTCGGAAATGTTATTCAACCAAATTGATATATCATATTTTTAATTCTTATTGGATAGAAAAACTCTCCATTTAAATGATCAATATTGGTCCAAGTTTCATTCTACCCAGAATTATTAATATTGGTTAGCCTAGCCCCTTTACAACCGAACCTCCCAAATTTTGGAATTTATGAGATTTTTAGCATTTTGGGCACACTTTCAACCGAACTGGTGGCAATGGATGAATATTTTGGATTCACATTGGAGCTACCATGGGGGGTTACCATAAAAAGTGAGCAAAAACATTTTCATTAGAGTCCATGTTTTGACATAGCCCACATACGCGAAATTTTCGGTACCGGTAGTGTCTGCATTGTGGCATGTAGTTTTTCATGGCAGCCATGTCATAGCCCCCATATATAAGAGTCGCGATTTATTTTCGGTATTTTGAATATCAACCTCATGCTGGAGGGTATAAAAATAAATTTTAGTAGGTAATAGTTTTAGAACAATATAGTCATAGAATATTTTTCTTTGTTTTAAACGTTAGTGTTAAAAGTAATAGTTCCGATTTTTTTATGGTGTATTTTCCAAGTGACGATTTTGATCATTTTTAAGGCCCTCAAATTACAGAGTACCTTTAGGGGTTAATTTCTATCTGGCCCTTGCAAGATATTGTCTTTAAAATAACATATATGTTCCCGAAAACTGCAACTCTGCGAAAAGTCCCTGAGATGGTCTTGAAACCGGACATTTTTTTTAAAGATTCGTTTAAGGAGTCTAAGAAAATTTGATAAACATTAAACACTCGCCTATGTACAAGATCCTATTAATGTTTTCGTTTTATGTTTATTAAAATTGTTAAATACTCTGTTTATTACAATAAAAAATGCTTCATATATATTTCGTTAATGTATAGGCATTACAACTTTTAAACTCTTTTCAAACAGTGTTGTGGTATCCTTTTTTGCATGGAACAGTCCTTATTTATATTTGCTATACTCTCCTCAACATGTATTCTCTCTCATCTTCGCTCAGTAACTTACATTTCTCTTGGATTTTTCAGCTAAAAATTTACACAATTGCAATATGTGCTCGGCCGTGAAACGTTTTTCACTTTCCAATTCGATTTTGCGCATTGTGCGATTATTGTTGTCGTTGTTGCCAGCGAAACTGTCAGTTATGACGACATCCTTGTCATTTGCGATGACATCACAGACGCTATGATGGCCGGTATTCATCTTTGTGGTTTCCGTTGTTTGTCGTGGCGTTTGTGTTGTTGTTATAGCTGTTGTCGTTGTTAATAAAAAACACTTTTCACTTTTCTTTTTTGTTTTCGATGTTGATGATTTGGCATGTATATCTGCACTCAGACTTTTATGTTTCATTAATTTATACATAATACCCATTTAATAGAAATTATTTGCTAATATTTATAATTATTTTTAAAACACTTTCTTCTTTTTTACGTTTCTTTTGTTTTTATTTATTTTGTTTTTCTTTGATTATAATATATATTATCCAATGTTAGAACGTTTATTCTATTCCTTTTGTTGTTATAAATATTTGTTTGTTGTTCTGTTTTTTTTTCTTCAACAAAAATAAAATCACAAATATAGTATCACATACACATGTCACACAGACTAGCTAATGAAGAACAAATTAATAAGGAAAACCAAAAGTCTTTAAAATCTCTCTAGATATTGATGTTCACTCCTTGAATACGTTTCTTGTAATGATCATGCCGGGGTTCCTGCCTATCTACTTATACTCAAAATTACATGTGGTGGTGGTGTATGTTTGAAATTTGTGTTTTTTTTTCGTTATTGTGTGTTGTCTGAAAATAACACAAAATTTTCCCGCTCAAAAATAATTTTCCTTTCCTTAGTCGTTTTTGTTGTTGCTTGTGCTTGCACGGCCGACCTCTAGCGAGAGTGTATTACTCTAAATGAAAAGAAAAGAGTGAGAGTGCGGGGAAATTTTGTTTTTGTTGAGCATGCCTTTGGCCGTGTTACGATTTAGCGTGCGAGAATACACTATACGGCCAGTGAAATGTATTTCTATTATGGGGGGATTTTTAAGAAGACACAAGCAAGATTTAATAACTAGAAGGACTGTGGATATTACCTGTGAGAACTGTTGAAATTTAAAGTAATTTTGCAATAGTAAACATGTTCCCTCCAATATGGGAGCAAGACTTTTATATGAAGGCTATGCCATGATGAAATGTTTGTAGCGCTATTTTACACTTAATAAAATCTAAAATATAAATCGATAGCAAATTCATTTCAAAAACGTGCCCAATATTCGGAACAATTAAGTAGTAGGGCTATATGGGACCAAAATAAATGTCCAAATTTGTGAGATAACGTTACATTGGATCTGAACAAGGATACAAAACTACAATAAAATATCGAAATTAGAAAGGTACAATAGATGGGGACTACCCTGAAACATAATGTGATATCCAATAAGAGCCTAAAATATTTTTAAAATTATAGCCCGACAATTATAAAATTATACACTTGACATGTCTACAATAGGCTAGCTTTTTATACCTTACACAACTATGTTATAAGGATTTTATAAGGATGGACCAAAACATTATTTTTGTCTGGCCCGGGAATTTGGATCTGTTCCAGGAATAAGCATGGCTCTTTTGAGGAGAATTTGTTAATATTTAGCGGCTCAAATAGATCCAGACTTTTGTGTGAAAAATGACAAAAATTGTGTGAAGGACATATACTCGGTATATACCAGAGGAGTTGTTGACCTTTAAATTGACACCAATTATATTGCCGTATGTGCTTGGATGCGAGAATTATACCTAAAACTTAACAGGGGTGTATGTATTTTGGTATTGTTTAGTATTACCATTACCCCACTGGGGTAGAAGAGGTTCGGGGATGATCAGATGATATAAAGAGGATGAAATGAGCTGAAAACTTATTTGTGTCTCTTTT